CGCATGGCCTCTCTCTCTCTCTCTCTCACACACACACACACACACACACACACACACACACACACACACACACACACACACACACACAAACCGGGTTAGATACATGTACGCGCAGTCGACATACCACGAAATCAGATGTACTTAACAAGATAACGACAACATCCAACATATAAAATATAAAAATGTATCGACATACATGGATACATATAGGTTCAGGCTCCTCATGAGACGGGTAAACTCCGACGGAACACCCTCCAGTTATTGTCCTTTCCTCCCTTTCCGCCTACTACGGGTCACCGGGGAGTCAGCAGTCTACTACAACGCCGTAAATATATAAATATATATATTGTCACATGAATATCAGAGCGCAAAAGCGGAAAAAAAACAACGAAAAGACGAATTCGTTTTTTTGATATCTTCTTCCTTACAACTCCCCCTGTTCAGAACCTCTTTTGCGTACAAGGCCGCCCACGTGGATGTAGGTTGAGCGGCGGCTGCCCCCACCCCCGTGTGTCATATCGACCCACTTGCACACAGTCAAAAGGCAAAGAGGCAAAAAAAAGAGGAGGGAACAGCCAAATAAAACAGACAGAGCAGGGGGCAACAAAACAGATCCCAGATGACAAGTCCCACATGCAAGCACCGCCCCCCCCCCTCCTTCACAGGCCAAACGACGGGACAAGACCAACCAGGATGTCAAAACATTCTTGCCTGCAAAGCAATCAAAGAAAGTACCAGATACATATATCTACACAGCAGATGGCCTTGTTCGACATCAAGAAGTTGGTATTCCTATCCGGCATCATCGCAAGCAATTCGTACGGGGACATCATAAAACAATCCTGGATGATGTTTGCCACATAAAAGCACCGCCCCCATTGATAGGCCGAACAACGGGAAGCAACCAACTAGGATACCAATATATACATATCGTCAAACAGAGCTGCCCAGTGAACCGTAAGCAGAGATGGAGAAGAGAACAAGAAACGAGGGGGGGCTGTGACAAACTGTTTCGTCCGAGTTTCACCGACTGACTCATCAATCAGTAGAGGCTGAACCCTGAACAGTCTGCAGAATCCCCTAATAACTGATTACACTGTAAGTGATACTCCACCTTAACCCCGGCTGTGGTTAGCATCAACGACTGCCCGACAAATGATACCCCCCCCTCTGAGGTGGTGGGGACCACCAACCACTGCCCTCGAGGTACCTGTGACGAAATATAACGCAGACTAGCACTCACCCACACCAGATGGAAAACTCTACACAGTCGGTCCACACCCCATCACAAGCCAGCAAAACACCCACGAAACAAAGTCGGGACACGCCGCTGGCAGTGTGTCTATAAATAACTATATATGTACGAAGACTACTGCCGTATTACCACTAACGACGTTTTTTTTTTTTTTTTTTTTCGTATACAGCTTTAAACCGTATTACTCTGCGTTAACCGTATTACTATTAACGAGCAATGGAGCGGCAGGGGCTTTAAACCGTATTACTCTGCCTCGTTGATCCTCACGGCGTATACCGTATTACTCTTAACGACGTATCCAGCTTTAAAGTCAAACCGAGTTCTGACTATACCGCGCCGTTCCACCCTACTGATTACGAAAGACTCGCTCCCAGCCAACACACGAAATTAAGGCGGGGAAAAACGCAAACAAATCACAGAAAACCAAATTCGAGCAATGGAGCGGCAGGATCAAGACGCGTCCCTCAGCTGACAAGGAACTGACCAAAAAAAAACTACCAAGGGAAAAAAAAAAAAAAAAAACTACCAAGGACGGTCCACTTGACCGGAGGCATGGGCACAGTAATAGGGTGAAAGAACCCAGGCATGGAGTTCACTGTCCGCTTTTCTCAGACGACAAAGACGGCTGCCCTCAGCCGACAAATAGGGTGAAAGAACCCAGCCCAGGAACGGAGCAAGAACCGAGCCACCAGGAATGTAAATAGTTGGGTGGGGGGGGGGGGGGGGGGAAGGAATCTTTCATTCTGGCGACCATGCGCGGCAAATAACAGTAGCAAATACAAGGTCCATGAGTTCGAACCCTGGCGGAGGTCCATGAGTTCCAACCCTGGTGGGAGTCCATAAGTTAGAACCCTGGTGGGGGTGCATAAGTTAAAACGCTGGTGAGTTCGAAACCTGCTGGGGGGGGGGGTAAATGAGTTCGAACCCTGGTGGGAACACGAGGATAGTACCCCGGCTACCCCTTCGTGATGCTAGTCAGTAACGAGGATCACGTTCTTTTTTCTTTTTTTTTATCACCTTTTTTTTTGGCTTTTTTTTTTTTGGCTTTTTTTTTTCAGTTCTCGTTTTTTTTTTTGGCTTTTTTTTTTTAGTTCTTTTTTGGCTTCATAAATACTTAACAAGGATTAAAAAAACGAAAAAGATGACCACGTTCTAGTCTAGATGGCAGTTAGCAATCAAAGACTCGCGAACAAAAAGACGTCAAAAAGGGCTGCTGTCGTCAGATACATTCAAGACGAGCCGTATCAAGGCTTGATTGCGGTCAGATTCGTGTACGGAGAGCTGCACCTGGCGTGATTGCGGCCACATAGGGCCAGATAGGGATGTACTCGTTTGGACACACAAACTTGAGGAGATGGGTATGCTAAAAAATGCTATGCTTGTTCATTGCAAAAAACAAAACGAAAAACAAATATAAGAACTATGCTGAATTTGCATGCTAAAAAATGCTATGCTTGTTCATTGCAAAAAACAAAAAACGAAAAACAAAAAACAAGAACTATGCTGAATTTGCATGCTCTAAGACCGGACGTGGTTGACGCGCCACTGTGTTATAAAAGATGTGCTATGCTGTGCTCTCCCGTGCTATGCTATGCTGTGGCCTGCCGTGCTATGCTATGCTATGCTATGCTATACTATGCTTTGCTATTCAACGCTGTACTTGAATTATGTGAGAATTTTTTATGCAATGCTGGGCTAATCCACATGCTGTGAGACTGGACTTATTTGACGCACTACTACCTGCAATAAATGCAGTGCTATGCTGTGCTCTCCCATGCTATGCTACGCTGTGGCCCACCGTGCTATGCTGTGCTATGCCCATGCTATTCTACGCAATATTACGCAATGCTGGGGTATTCACATCTAATAGGCCAGACGTGCTTGACGCGCTACTACGTGCTACAAATGCTGTGCTATGCTGTGATACGTTGTGCTCTACCATGCCATGCTATGCTGTGGCCTGCCGTCCTATGCTATGCTATCCTGTTCTATACTACACTATACTATATCATACTATACTGTTCTATATAACGCTATGCGATGCTGTTCTATGCTATGCTACTCTGTGATATGCTATAGAAAACTCCGCTATTCTACGCTGTACTAGTTTACATGCCCCGAGAGCTGACATGCTTGCCGCGAGACAGTGCTTTTCTAACTTGCTATACCATGTTGAGCTAAGTCAATCGATGTTATGCTTCGCTATTCTCTCCTGCAACATACTATGCTATTCTCCGCTGTGCCAGTTTACATGGCTTCACGCTTCCCCGCCTGATGCTCCGAGGCAGTCTTCTTCCATCCCGACAGACCGAACAGAGACCGAACGGACAGAGCGTTGCATGGCCTGAAGCTCCCCGCCTGATGCTCCGAGGCAGTCGTTTTCCATCCCGACAGACCGACCAGCAGACCGAACGGACAGAGCGTTGCATGGCCTGACGCTTAGCTACAGCATGGCATAGCATACCATTTACCTAAGACATAGAACGAAGCTTAGCAACCTATGGCATTGCATGTGCTAAGCTCTGTTTTTGCATCACAAGCAGAAAATAGAGTGCTTCCGCGTCACAAACACCCAGAAGAGACGAGAGCTGAAGAACATAGCACGAGGCTTAATCACATTGCATGAGCATGAAGCCTACCCACATCATTAAGCTAACCCCCAGCATATAGCATAAAGCTTCGCACCGCATATAGCATGCATCTTGGCACGAAGCTTAATAACATTGAAAAACGTAACGACCGAAGCACGGCGTGAGGCTTTGCCCTGCATGCAATGCATGCAGCTTGGCACAGCGCATAGCATGAGTATAAGCGCATAGCATGTGACGATAAGCAATAGTACGAGCTTACCTTTTGAACTGCTAGAAGCCGGACAGATAGCCGCCTCCCTTTTTCTCAAGGACTTCCTGCCTCCCTCTACCATACGAACGCAGAGCGGAGGGGAGAGAGAGAGAGAGAGAGAGAGAGAGAGATGGTCCTTATGCCTGGACTACGTAACAGAGACGGTTCTTGGGGGGGGGGGGGGGGGTTTCATAATTGTTCTTCTTTGCATGGCAGAGCATACGAGGGCAGAGCGGGGTCCATGAGAGTGGAAGGGTTAAACAGAAATAGGGAGTTCGAGGAAAACAAAGAAAAAAGATCAAGCGCGATCACGTGGGGTCATGTCATCATCTTTACAATGACTACGTGGCAAGACGACATGGCGCCACGCAGTCCCTATGCACCGCACCTAGTCAGGGTAATCACATGCACGTAGGTGTACCAGTACGTCTCGCGTGCACGCGTGCATGCGTGCATGCGTGCATCCGTGTGCAACTGGGTGAGTAACCGCGGCGTGCGTGAGTACTTTCTTCACCGAAGATACACTAAAGAGGAAAAACAAGCAATTTTCTTTTTCCATAATTCCGCACGTTTCCGATATCACAGACCAGGTGCACAAACGACAAATGCGAGCGTCCCTCATTCCTCGTAGTCCGCCTACACGTTATCGCTTTCACATAGGAGTTCGTCCGTGTTTATGTGTGTGTGTGTGTGTATGTGTGTGTGTGTTGTGTTGTGTGTGTGTGTGTGTGTGTGTGTGTGTGTGTGTGTGTGTTGTGTGTGTGTGTGTGTGTGTGTGTGTGTGTGTGTGTGCTGTCTCTTATACACATCTAGATGTGTATAAGAGACAGGGAGTAGAGAGGGAGAGATCATTTAATTCGTGTAGACGAAAAGATAGAAGAGAGGAGAAAGACATTTCAATTTCGGAGAGGACAAAAAAAGGAGAGAATTTTTTACTATTCCAAATTCTTATTTCATCAGTTAGCAGGACAAGAGGTGCTGTCACTGGTTCTAACTCAGCACAGCGAGCAAGGAGGCATGTGATTCGGCCTGTTAGAGTATTTCTCACCTCAGAGGCTGAAGCCGTCTGAACTGCGAGCGCCCTCACTTTGGACCCTGAGAGAGCGGCCATCGCCGCGGTAGCCATGGTAAGAGAACGACCAAAGTGCGGAGATCTCAAGGCGGAGGCGGAAGAGAGAAGGAGAGAGAAAAAGAGAGAGGAAGAGAGAGAGAAAGAGAGAAAGAAAGAGAGAGAGAGAGAGAGAGAGAGAGAGAGAGAGAGAGAGAGAGAGAGAGAGAGAGAGAGAGAGAGAGTGCAGAAGCAGATTGAGTAACTCGCGGCGCTGCGTCGAGAATGGAAGATGTAGAAGCGAGAGAGAGAGGGAGAAGGAAGGATAAGAGGAGACGGAGGCGGAGGAGGAGGAGGAGACCGAGCCGATCAAGCCGCCGAAGCCGCGTACAGCTGCGGCGGACAGGATAGATTCGCGGCCTTCGGACGTCCTCACTCCTCCAGCCAGCCCTCCTCAGCCTTTTCTTTCGTTTCTCTCTTCTGGGCCCCTGAGTCAGAGACCAGTGCACTTTCCTCCTATTTGTTCTACTGCTTGCTCGCCACCCACCCTCCCTCTCTCCTCGAACGAGGACCACAACCTCCCTACGTAGGCCTGTTTGACGTAATAGGCCAATGCTGCCGTGTCCCTCTCTCGCTCGCGTCCGATCGCCTCCGTTATTCCAGGTGCTATCTGCCACCCATCGTATTCGACGCACCAGTAAGATGCTCTCTCTCTCTCTCTCTCTCTCTCTCTCTCTCTCTCTCTCTCTCTCTCTCTCTCTCTCTCTCTCTCTCTCCTCTGCAGGTATGGGAAACGGAAAAAGGCAGGTGCTACCGTCTTCCAGCGAACATAACGCACCCTGAAAATGAGCGTATGCAAGGCATGTTTCCGGCCCGATACAGTCAAAATGAGGATGCGTTATGAGCGTATGCAAGGCATGTTTCCGGCCCGATACAGTCAAAATGAGGATGCGTTGTGTTCGGGGGGAAGACGGTACAGGTAGGCCAGCGGTAAGGTGGTGCAGGGTTCGAACACTGGATCGCCTCGATAACAGTTGCAACTAGCAAGAATGCACGCCTTTCCTTTTTGTTTTGTGCACGTACCTGGTCACCATTGACGTGGAGGTACGGTTTTTGCTTTTCCACCTGTATTGGTGCGGCGTACCCGCTTTTGGGTTCGTTCGCCCCCTCATCACACCCTTTTCCCACTTCGCTTTTCTTGCCCACCTCGCTCCATCCCCCTCCTACAACCCCCAATTGTCGCCTCAATGGGGAAGGTAAGGTAACCCCCACTTGCTCGAATTCGGCAACTCCTTGATCAGGTGATCTACGGTCCACGGGACCTTCGCCCTGGTTGTGCGCCGTTGGATTGTCACCTGTTTTTTTTTTTTGGAACCTTTTTATTATCTATCAGGGCCCAGTGCCCAAGGTGGTATACAAATACCTTTCTCGGCCTTTTGGCTAAAATCGAGTGTAGTATCTGTTCTCTGATCCGTGGTCCTGAAGGTGAATTGAAAGAATTTGTTGTAGCTCCTTTTTTTTTTTTTTTTTTTTTTTTTTTTTTTTGA